GTACATATATAAGTTGCTTGGGAGGCACATTAATTTCAGAAGATGGGTCATACTTGGTAAATGGCAGGAAGGACCTCAGCAAGTGATGTGTCTGCACTGACAAACAGACTCTAGTAGAGGCCCTAAAGCTATCTGTCTGGGTTCTCTCCTTGGCAACCAGCATTTGTATTTTGACTAGTAAGCCCCAGTACCCATGTGTCCTTCTGGGAAATGCAGCTTGGCAACCATTTCTGAGGGCAACCAAGCCATAAAAATGAGCTCCTGCTTGTTACAGACTGCAGGCTTCTATAGGGATCCACACACACATGACCTCAAAACTGCTTCCTTCCGTATTGGACTCTTCTAGTAACACTTACAATCGACTAGTTGAAGAAGAACTAGATGCTGGAGGACAGAAGAAAAAAGTTGTTCTGAAATTTTGAGAAATAAAAGAAATATTGAAGCTTCTTAAGATAATTTTGTTATTTTTACTCTTTAATCATGAGAGAGTAGGTATGTAGAATGTACTTGGAAGCCAGAGGCGAAGCTCCCACACCCCCAGAAATGGCAGTGGTCAGCTGACTGATCTGTGGTCTAGGACCTGAACCTGAGTTCTCTGAAAAACACTGCACAGTCTTAACAGCTGCAATGCTTAAACATAAATGCATAATGCAAAGATGCCCTTAAATCTGTCCAGCCCCATTGAAGACTTGGAAAAAATGGTCACGGTGTTCCAATAGGTAGACAATGTCTTTCTAAGAAGAGAACTTAGTGTCACATAAGAGCTGAGGAAAATATTATTGTCGTTCTCATGTCCTCAGCAATAATAAACTAGGACATAGGCTATGTGCCCACCCATGTCACTAACATGTCAAGACAGGGTCATCCATTCAAATGCACCATTTCTCCAGGCCACCCGCCAGTCTTTGTCTTTCAGCAAATCCTTTGTGCTTGTGACTCAGTCCTGTGCATTCCTGAATCTTGGGGTTTGTCTGATAAATGTTCTGTCCTCTGTTGGCTTTCTACTTACCAGGCATCTGCCGTTGCAGATGTCCCTGAAAATCAAACCCAGAAGAGTCTTGATCACATCTCTTTGAGGTCATTGTTTCTGATATTAGAATCACTCCATTTTAACACAACTCTTTTGTGTGTGTGCTCCATTCTCTGTGTTTTTTAGTGCAGTGGGTTTTTTTAGAGCATGGTTTCACCATGTTAAACAAAACAAGCTGTGCATGGAAAGGTAGTGCTTGATCTCTCTCCTACAGGAAACCTAAGAGATGATCTCATACAAGTTGAGAGTCCAGGTTACTAGGGGCAAGGTAGACTAAAAGGAAGGAGAAAGATAGCAGGAGACATTGATTAATGTGTTCAAAGCCACAAGCAGATGAGAGAGAAACAGTATAGCCACCAGAGACAGTAATGAATGTCTATTTTTAAAGTAGACGAAAGCATTTTTAAAAATTGGCAAAATAAAAATAAATATTTAAGGATTCATGTATGTTGGGATTTAAACATTAGATAGTATGTTCCTGTATAGACTTTTTCATGGTGCTCCATTACTGTGCATGTTAGCATGTACCAGGGGAAAAATAATTGTAAAAATTCAGAGAGAGCTGGATGTGGTGGCCCAGCGCATAGTCGTATCACTTGGGACAAAGAAGCAAAGCAAGAGTAGACAGAGAGACGGGAGGTGAGAAGAGGGAGAGAAAGATTACTCAAAACTGAAAAATGTTTGTCATGAGATGAAAACACCCTCAGATGTAGCAAAGGAGGATGCAAAAATGCTAAAAGCTGGGTGGGATGATTATCAGCCCGAAGCTGAAAAAATTCTGTCTCAGAAGACAAACAAGAAAACAAAGCCCAAAACCTAAAATCAAACAAGAAGGGCAGAGTGAGCCTCTCCAGAGGATGGAGGGCAGCTCTCAACTTCTCCAGCTGGGATTCCGCATAGTTTACTAGGCTCTCTCACTGGGCTCTGCAAGGAGACCTGGGACCCATGCATTTTTGGCGGTGTTTTTCATTTCCTAACCCCTGTAATCACAGGCCTTTTGGCCTTTGCCAAAGCCATTCCCCTAGTGCCAGCCAAACTTGTCATCCTTGAAAAATAACAAATAAAATCCACAAATATTTGGATATGTCTATTAAAAAACGAAACCTGCTATCATTTTGACAGAGTACTTTCTACCAAGGGCAACGGTGTTTACAGGAGTTTAAGCAAATATTTGCACGAGGGGCCCTCACCTGTTACAACAGTAGGATAGGGTCCAAAGTGCGGCACCTACCCAGGCTTCCCGAGGGCTTCCACCAAGTCCCGGGAGTGGCTTTCCTGGCCTAATGCCCATGTCTTTGATAAGGGCATATCAGCTTTACCCCATCACTTATCAAAAAATGTGTCCATTACTGGGTCAGATAAAATTGTTTAAGTGCTCATTTGAAATCCTTAGCAGCCGTTCCTGGTTCAGACCCAGAAAACAGTCATTTTAAGTGACAACCTAGAGGAGATAGGGGAAGCAAGAAAGAGAAAAGGAAAGAAGGAACTGGAGGACCTTATCCAGACCCTGAGCACTCCTTTCCTTCCCAGAATGTGACCTGAAGATGAGGGTGGGAAGGACTGACTTTTCACCAGGAACATCATACATCTGCCTCTTTTCCCTCAGATCATTACAAAGCAGAGTGCTACAGGAATTCAGAGGTTTCAGTAGAATGAAATCAATTCAGAACTTTAAAGAAAGAGAAGGGACAGAAATGTCCTCTGTTCCATCACACTTCCATATGCCTACAATCACCACTGGAATCCTCTTTTATAATATGCAGGATATGTCACAGGTCGTTCCTGGGGGAAGGCAACTCAAACTCAGTAAACAGAAATGAGTAGCAGCTGACCCACATATACAGGAGCCTTGGAAAACAAGACACAAGGACAAAGACAGACAGACAGCAATGGCAACTTCAGCGTGCACTGGCTTCCCTGATCTCTCAATTCCATGATTGAGTAGAAAAATTAATGCTGTATGTCTAGACACCCCTTCTTTTATTTCTGTTTAAAATAGCCGTGACTTTTCTCCCATTGTAGGATAGATTAGATGCCACTTGTATCTACTTGAGAAGACTGTTAACAAAGAAATATTACAGCACAATCTTACTGCTTCCCTAAATAATGCTCCAATACTTCAGATTTGAGCATTCTTGCCCATTAGTTAGCCCCTCAAAAGAATGCCAGACATTACCCCATTCCTACAGCACTGGCTCTGTCAATTGCTCTTTTTGTTTCTTAACTGAGATAGGCTTCATTGTGTCTCCCAGGCTGGAACACTTGGAGTAAGAAATCTCAGTGTCTTCGTCTCCTGGAGAGCTGGAAGTAATGGAGCACACTCCATTCTAGGGTAAAAGCTCTGAGCTCACTTCTGGGTTTAAAAATTCAATCAACCCCTCTAATTCCTGCATTTGCCCCAAGCTCAGGACTTGTCACCCCACGAATCCCCACTCTGGAAATCTCCACCCTGGAAAACTCTGCCCCCAAAAATCCCTTATATAATAAGCTTTTCTCTTGCCTAGTTCCCTGCTGCTTCTAGCCCAGCAGAGGCAGCCACCTCTTGTGTCTTTCCCAATAAATTTGCTGTGTGAGGTTGGTTGTGCTCCATGACTTTGTGGTATTCCTTGGCTCCCCATTTCCAGGATACCTTTCCCCTTAGAGCTGTCACACTTCCATTGGGAAAATGTTCAAGTCAAAGTTAACCAGTGAGCCCCAAGGACAAATAACATCCTGAAACTCTGGGTCTATGGTTCTTAGGGAATAACAAGCCACATGTCTTTCCTCTCCTAAACAAGTTTATTCGCACCAGATGTGCATGATTGGGTGTGGGCAGGAAGGACATAGGGAGGAACTACATATGCTTGCCCCTGATTGGAGCTGATGGGAAATATGGTGTTCCTACAGTTTTGCCCTTTTTAGCCTCTGCAAAATGTGACTCTGCCATTTCCTGGGAGTCCAGGAATGGACCTGGCCTGAGTCCATTATCCTGGCCAGTATTTAATTAAAGCTTGCTTCAAATTTGGCTCAAAATTGTGGAACTGGTTTTTCTCTCATGCATCTTGAGTTTAACAGAAGCCTTCCTGCTAGGAGCTGTAACACTTCCATTAGGAAAGCCATTCCCCTCAGAGCTGTAACAATTATAGCCACCAGTACATTCAACTTAGTGTTTTGTCTTTCTTCCAATTAATGGTCATTGCTATTATGGTTTTTGCAGTGTTAGGAGTCAACCTGAGGCTTCGTGCACACCAAGCATGTGCTGAACTGTTAAGCTATAACCCAGCCCACAATCCACTTCAATTGGCCAAGTGGCTTCAGCTTAAAAGTCTCTGGGTAAAGCTCAACTAAC